AAAAATATATATAATTTTAAATTTCTTTTTATTGTATTTTATAAATTTATTTAGATTTAATCTAAAAAATGTTAAAAATGTTTGAGCTGTTCTTTTTTTACTTTGGATACACAGAACCATGTTACTTATGCCTAGATGTAAGTATATATTATATAGCTATATCGAATCAATACTTCAAGCTATAGAGTATATCAAATTAGATTTTAAGAAATGTCTCGTATCTATATCGTATTCCGTCAATTGGCATTGAACAGTTGTGTCTTAGCAAACATGTTGAATCAAGTGTTTTACATGTAGGTAAATATTCGTATCAGTGTAAATTATTTATAATAATATAATCAGCAGCTCGGTGATATTGATGCTCTCGCTTGGCAGTCATGCACTGTCCACGAGGATCTCAAGGGGGTCGTGCCAGGCGAACATGACAGCCGTTGGAGACTTGAATATGAGACGGTATGAGGGCATATGGTATCCACAATTCACGTATCCATTATATCATAAATCACTGCCCAAATGCGTAAAGTATAATGTTACTAAGGACATAAGTGGTAAATATAGAATTCTAAGATCGGATATCGACAACCAGTAAGTGATCTTTAATCAAACTGAACCCTAAGGATACTTAAATGTTTTGTTCCTAAATATAGGAGCGGCAATGTGCGTCGGCGATCTACATTGATACTGAGAGTGAATCGAAAGGGAGGAAAATACGCAATAAGAACTGATAGTGAGGCTTTTACACAAGAAATGCAAACAACAAAGAGAACTCATTAAAATATGTTTCTTCAGATTCACCAGACGGCCTTAATATGTATGTGCTGGACACGGACTATAGAACATATTCAATTCAGTACGCCTGCATAGAGCTGGAAGGCATCTTAAATATAGGTAAGCGTGGGCGTGTTCGTTAATTAGTGGAATTAGAAGCCTGAACGGTTGGTGGATTTCAGCATATGCCGTCATAATGACACGCGAGCGGATGCCGAGCTCCGAAGTTATTCAGAAGACTGAGAAAGTGGCCGAACTCTCTGGAATTGATCAGAAAAATATGGTACCCATTTTACAGGGTGGCTGTCCGATCGATGTCTAACAGATATTGGCCCAGAAAAGCATCATTAAATACCCTTAACAAAAGATTCAAACTTCTTTCTATTCAAATCTTATTGAAGTAAGTTATCTGACGTTCTTATGAATTAGCTAAGCTAAAGTCACGCAAAAGATGTGTAGAGAATTCATTAGGTAACGCAAATCAGCACTGTCTGACATATATAGTAGGGCGTAATGAAAAGCTAAAGCGATGCATTCTGGTATAAAGTTGGATAGTGAATAAATAATATAAAAAAAAATTAAACGGCACAGATATTATTATTATATTTTTTGTCAGGTTAAAAAAAAAATTCCTAATTATCACTATTTGAAAATATATATTTAAAAAATAAAAAAAAAAGAATATTTTGTATTTTCATTTGCTTAAATATATGACAAAA